GCCCAATGCGTGATCCTGCTCGCTAATCCCAGTCACCAAATTAGACTGTGGCGCTGTAACGGACACCGTGATATTACACATCCGTATGCATTGAGGTAATCTGCTCCCTCTCGTATTTCACAACCAGGTCACAGAAAGGGTTTACCAAGCAGAATTTAGGAGATAATGCCCCAGCAGGCTCTTAATGGGAACAGGTGTCCCCACCACCAAACCTCTCTGACATCTGTTCAAATTATTTTTAATTCCTGGTCTGTCAAGGGAGACCTGCAATGTATTTACAGCCTCAGAGCGTAACATGCAATGTATGTGGGATTTGGAGCAGATTATTGGACTAGATATTAAGGAAATTCTGCCCTCAAATTTCTTTTTTCATTCTGGGGTTTGATTCTAGAAAAGAACTGATATCTCCTTTGTACAGCGCTGTGGAATATGTTGGTGCTTTACAAATAAATAAATAAACTGTGCCTTGAAAGGTCTTCAAACAGGGTGTTGGAATGTTGCAATCCTGACAGATATCTAGTCTATCACTTTCCCGTGTGTGCAATTAACACAATTTATTATTTGGATGTTTTACAGTGAACTTGCCGTGAGTTGATATTTAAATCTGGTTTGCTTTTTTTTTTTTTTTACCGTGTAAATCTGGATATAGTATACAATAGACATGAGTTTAAAGGGACACTCCACTACCTGAATACAAGAAAAACTAAAATCACAGTTTAGTAGATATACCCCCAACAAAAGCATGCATGCATTTAATTCTGTTAAAAGGCGAGTAGGGAGCAGCAGCTGGCGGTGTCTTTAGATGTTTATATTATGGAACCAGAGAAAGAGACCATTGACAAGTTTACAATGTATTGTATCACGAATAGCAGTAGGCAGGAAAAGAGATGCACTTACATTTTGTGGAGCTACAAATTAGCTCCATTTCTATGCGCTTGAGTGGTAAGAGTCTAGAACAGTGATCTTTTAGGTTTAGATCCTCTCCCTATACATACGTGCTCCATTTTAATGCCTCCCTCTTGCCCTATGCTGCAGATGTCAATGAATGAAGCCACACATTTATTCAAGAATATATTAGTGGTGAATCCAGGTATTACAAATCTGAGGCTGGTAGAGGATGCCAAATCCTGGTGGTTACTGCCACCTAGTGGCTGCATGATAAGGTCAGTGATTTGGGGCAATTAAAGAGCCTGTGACAGCTGGGATTCTGAATGTTTCAAGGTTGACAACATCAGGGGGATAATTTATTTTGGACTGCAAAAACAAACAGATTAAAAAGACGAGGGCGGTGAAGGGCATGGAATTTGAAGTAGCTGTAAAAATTGAAACAGAAAGAAGACACAAAAATTTTTTGCTAGTTTTCAGTAACTGGAAAATCTTTCCTATTGTGTTTACACTTTAAGATGATTACAATCCAGGAATGGAAGGCCCTTGGCAATAAAAAAACCAAATAAAAACACTGAAGTTAGCCTCGGAACACGAACTCACACTAATTTTGTGATGCGGCAACGGCTATATTATTCATTAGCCAAAACGGACAAACAATACAAAACCAAAAAAATGTTACCTGCGCACAATAACAGGTTTTTAGCACTAACTTAATGGCCATTAGTACAAATTCAGGTGAGTTCCACGCTAACAATTCACCTTGATGCTTTAAGGTAAAAGGTGAATTCTGTTGAGAAAGAAGAAGGTGACAAGGGAGAGGGGAATTGAAACGTGTCTTGTAGGTCATGCTGTTTATTCACACTGGGCCAACTGCAACCTTTGGACTGATTCAACCAGTTACAATCCACTAAAACACTCTGGGTGCCAGAAATCGCCTACTGCTTCTGTTAATCTTCCCACTTCACATCTCTTAAAATTAACGTACGATTTCCCTAATTAGGAATGTACAAGTATGAGAGATGAGAGAGATCGAACATTCTGAAGTTGCCACTATGCCCGTCCACAAGCTCACAATGACGTCTTTAAAGTGCAGCTGTCACCTGAGAGAGAAAAACCACCTTAATTTTGCCAGTAAACAAACGCCTTCCATTACCTGTGTTTTAAAATTTAATTCTAACAAAAAAAATGTGTTGGCATCACCGTTTTTTTATTTTTTGGAAAAGCCAAATCATATATTCTGAAATACTTTTCAGATTTTGTTTCTGTGATTGGAAGCATCTGTCCGTCAATCTGTCCATCCTTCTCCCTCTTTTTTTAGCTACACCTCTGTCAGTTCGCAACCCTGCAGTATGGACATTGGCGTATTATGAAATAGGGCGACTAAGCCTGTGTTTACGGTGGCAAGTTATAGGAGACGGAAGTTTCGGGGCTTTTTTTTTTTTCTATTACTATTATAATTATGGTAAAACTGCTTCTGAAAGTAGCTGTCTGTTATACTTTACTTAACACCAGATTAACAGCACATCCGCCACCCACCTAGCGCAGTGATCTCTATGTTGGGCTCCCTCTGCCTCCTCTGCTGCCAGAATCCACAAGGGAGCGATTAGTAATATCTGTGCCAGCTATATTTGAAGACTACGTGCTCTGCCACACGACCACAAGGGATTTATATTCATTTAATATACTGCCAATATAACCATATATTAAATAAGATTTAGACTGGATTTTGATGGTGGGTAAGCAATATCCTCGGATACCGCGGCACCCGAGCCAGAGAGCCGTAAGGCGGCACCGACCCTGCCCAAAAGGTGTGGACGCAAGAGGCTGCCTAAAATATCGGTACAACTATTTAGTTATATCTGTGTTTGTCGGTGCTGTGCGTCTGTGAGTGTGGCAATGAATATCTTGGAATGTGTGTTTATCCTTGTGTATGGTTGGCCGTGGTGTATCTCTGTGTTAATTTGTGTTTGTGAATGCATGTTTCCTGGCCATATCCATGGCAGCACAACAAGGGGTAGCTCCTCCCCATCCCTAGTTAGACAGGAACTAATTAAAACCCTATTAAAATCCCTAGGACAGATAGTCTTTTCAGACTGAGAACTATTTTTTTTAATGGCTTACTTTAAGGGTATTTACCCTTGGCCCCAGGGGAGTTAAGCCTCTCTTCCTTGGGAAGCTCCAGTATACGGCCCTATGCAAAGGTGTCCCCCTGGAGAACCCCCCAGTGACCAGGGAAAGCTTGCAGTGACCCTAGGGGTAGCAAGCATAATGAGCCACTACCCTACTTACTGCAGTGACCCTAGGGGTAGCATGTATGGGCAAGGCACAAGCAGTATGGATATACCCCCTTCTACCTTCATTTTCCTGGTTATCTGCTTTTTCTCGGATTTGGAGGCATTCCTCCTCTCGATTCGGCAGTTCTCTGCCTGGTGTTTATTTTCCCTCTTCTTCTGAGCCTCTGGTCCAGCAGTTCCTTCTCTTCTGCACCAGGGTCCTATCCAGGGCCGGACTGGGGATACAAAGCAGCCCTGGAAAAAAAATTTGAGCCAGCCCCATAAGTCACTGCGCCACATATTGTCACGTGTAATATGTAAGGCTATGTCTTGCCAGGACAGATGATTGAGTAATATATATATATATATATATATATATATATATATATATATATATATGCTTTTTCTAATATAAAATATTGGTCCTTTCAGGGTAAAACGTTTAATTATACAGTAAGCATACGCACATGCAGACACAGGCAATTTCACTGACATTTCAGTGACACACACAAGCTCATTGATACACAGCCTCATAGACAAACAATCTTACTGATATACATCAGCTCATTGACATAAAAACACAAGCTCACTCACTAGCAGGCACACGCATGCAAGCAAGCTCACTCACTAGCAGACGCACACACACAGCTTAATGTGGTGTCTATAGCATGTCCCTACAGGCTTTTCAACGTAAACACTGACTTTTCAGACAAAAGGCAGTGTTTACATTGCTTCAAAGTGACACTGCTAGTGACAGTCACTCAGACGGTCACTAGAGGTGCTTCCTGTGTTAGTGCCCTCCCGCGCTGCTGAATGAGACTGGCGCCGGAATATGACGTCATATTCCGGCGCCGGTCTCATTCAGCTGCGTGCTGGGGAGCAGAGCCAGCGCAGCTCGCGCAGCTCCCTCAGCGGCCGCCAGGACAAGTCTGCCAGCGGCCGCCAAAACACCTCCCCAGCGGCCAGGGGAGGGCTGGCAGCCTTAGGCCTGGGGGCAAAACCAGTCAAGTAGACTGGTGCACCTGCCCAGGATCAGAGCCGGTGCAAGGATTTTTGCCGCCCTTGACAAAATAAAAATTTGCTGCCCCCACATGTCACATCACAATGCCCCACCCATATGATCTGCCATATGAACTAACGCCAGTGCTGCACACAGTGTGTGTTTACATTAAAAAGCCTGCAGGGACCAGCTATAGACACAGAACCACTTCATTAAGCTATAGTGTCCCTTTAATGTGAGGTAAATTATAGATTAGTGTCACTAATAATATACTAGATTGCCTACTTACAAGCAGATGAGGATGATGATGGGCTGCAGTTTGGCTCCACTGGTCTGGTGTAGAACAGGATCTCTGGAGGCTGTTTGCAGCTGTGGTCACAAAATTCAATGTTCTGGGAGAATTGGAAGCAGCTCAATTTTTTGGGGGCCCCTTACACAGCTCAAGGTCTGGGCCCCAGGGCCTGACGGTGAGTATGCCCATAAGGCCCACTCATAAGTTCCACCCACCCATGAGTTGGCTCACAGGGAGTGGAGTGTGTAGGGGATGTGTTATGTGTTATTGTAGAGGATCTAATATGTGTGCTTATGGTATGTAGTGTTTAGGGTTACCAGTTTGTGCAGGTGATGCAGTGTGTTTGTGTATAGTGGAAGCAGTGTGTATTTGTGTATAAGGGATGTATTATGTGTTTCTGGTTGTGTGTAAGGGATGCATTGTGTGAATCTGTGTTTGTATGCATAAGGGATGCAAGGTGTGTGTCTGTATGTGTGTGCATGAGATGCATTGTGTTTCTGTGTGTATGTAAGAAAAGTGTGTGTGTTTGCATGCGTGTGTACGGGTTTGCATTGTCTGTTTCTGTGTATGTGTGCAAAGGATGCATTGTCTTTGTGTGTAAGGGTTGCATTGTGTGTGTGTATGTAATGGATGCATTGTGTGTTTCTCTGTGTGTAAGGGAAGCATGTTGTGTTTCTGTGTATGTATAGGGATGCATTGTGTGTGTGTGCGCGCGTAGTGTGAAAGAGCTCCCTGTCTTGGCCCCTGTCCTATAGAGCTGCCCCTTCTTCTTATTCCCTCCCCTCTTCTTATTCCCCTCCCTCCCCTCTTCTTATTCCCCTCCCTCCCCTCATCTTATTCCCCCCTCCCCTCTTTTTATTCCCTCCCTCCCCTCTTCTTATCCCTCCCTCCCCTCTTCTTATTCCCCCCCTCCCCTCTTCTTATTCCCCCCTCATCTTAT